CGCGCCAGATAAACAAATCGAAGACCTCAGTGCCACGACGGGAAGCGTCTGGTGTCAGTTACCAGCTCGAGTGCAATTGCGGACAAAGCAACTACTTCGGAGAAATTAACAGGTTGCTCGGGACGCGAATGGCTGAGCACGCAGCAGTGAGGATGAATGGCGGTAGCTCTCAGGTTGCGACTCATTCGACGGTACCTGGCCATATTTTCAAGCCTAACTGGATAAATACCCACCTGAGAGGTGAAAAACGTGCGAGTCGCTCGAGTCATAATACCCAGGTCTACAATCTACCAAAAATGGAGCCCGCTCTCAGTTCTCTCATGAGGTCTCAAACTGAATGCTATTCAAGCAGTAACAGTCGGTCGTACAAAACCCTAATTACTGACATGACTGCATCCTATGTGACGTCTTTTACAAGCCCAAATTGTTCGATCTGTCATTTCGCGGAACTCTCCTAAGTTGCTATAATTTGAAGTCATGGCTGGAGGCTGTGAAATGCCTCAGTGCTATGATGCCCAATATGGTAGGTGCAGCCTGACTGGATGCTGTTCAGCCCACACCGCTGGCTTGGTTCTCAAATCGATTCATTACCACTTTTGACTCGTCTAAAAGATATCAAGTTAACTCATCATTTTTTGTAAATAATGCGCCGCGCCCCAGACTACTGTTAAATCGAAGTGGGCTACTTTGTGGTTTCGTTCTCATATAGAACCGCGAGCACTCTGTTCAGACTTGTGTGGTCGTTTGAAACGGCAGCGGTTCCCTAGCAGACCTCACGCGCTGCAGATATGTTGGAATAAAATTGAGATTGGACTGGCTCACAGTACTAATCTGCGTACGGTGTCTCTGCGACGAGTGTGCTACATGCGCATGTTATGCCTACGGATTTGGCCCTCCGACCCGATCAGTCATTGTGTCTAATTCCACCGTCAATTGGTGGGTCGGGTCGGACGGTTTACTGGTGTATGAGAGGACGGGGGAGGAAGAGAGTGAGGCACATTACTCAGTATAATTAATCTAACACATTAGGAGTCGTGTCATCGTGTTGCGAAGCCGCGCGTCCCACGATGAGTCCACGCACGCAACGGTGTCGCGAGAGCCGCTTGCCGTGAGCCAGTCTTGTCTGCTCAATCCTGATTGG